ACCAGACTACACAGCGCAACAACCCAGAAGACAGAAATATTCAGGTATACCAACTACTTAATGGAGACTTTAGTCACACATGGGAAGAAAATATTAAAATTAAATTAAAATAAACATGGCGTATCCAGTGGCACGATGTTGGGAACACTAACGAAATATCACGCTCCGTAAATGGTAGAGAATTTTTTGGTTCGTTCAGGGACTATTAGATTCTTAAGAACAAATCTGCTCTGGAGTTTCTCGATTTTTAAACTGTGTCAGTTGCTTGTAACGTACTATTGCACTACTGCAAAATGCTTCTTCTTGCAAACCTTGCATCCTCATACACTGCAAGACCAGAAGGATTTAAATAATGAAATTAAATTCAATTTCTGGTGGTTTAAACACTTATTTCGAGATTTTCGAGATCATACAAACGTATAATACTGCAATAAAACTGAATTTAATTTCAGGTAAAAAAAGGAACTCCATGGCATATGACCTTAAATGGAAAACTGACGATTACTCAGCTGGTCTAGAAATTCCTTGGTGTATGAAATCGAAAAGACCATCACAATGTTCACAAATATCACCACTGTTCCTAAATCTAAGCTGGCAAACAATTTAGCCCATAAAGATGACAACCTTCTTGAACATCAGGGCAAATCACCCTGATCCTCCGAACCGTCAGTCAACTTCCACGGAACTACTAATACTTTTCTAATAAGAATGGCAAGCAGGAATATCACAGGTGCACCTTGACACTGAAAATCCTCAGGAATCATCAACGAGCGGTGGTCCTCAAACTTAGGAAGTAACAGCACAGCCAATATGCAATCAATGTAAAATGTTGCGTCACAAAACTTACTTCAAGGTCACGGAAATGAGTGGATTCTTTAGGTATTTTTAAGAAATGCACACAAATTAAAAATAATGGTGTTGAAATTTTAGATTTTACTACCATAGACTTGGATGCGTTAAATCAAGTCGGATGAGATGGGTAGGCCATGCAGCACAAACAGGAACAATGAGGAAGACGTACATTTTAGTTTAAAAATCTTGAGGAAAGAAGACATTTAGAACATCTAAGTATAAATACGAGAATAACATTGAAATGGATGTAAGATTTGAGGTTTTCACAGCGGTGAGTGTGAAGATTTTTGCCTTCTGGGTTGTTGCGCTGTGTATTCATATTCATCGCCCTGATGATGGAGGCAGTATGACCTCTAAAACGTTGGTTAACATCGACCAGACTACACAGCGCAACAACCCAGAAGACAGAAATCTTCATACTCATCGCCCTGATGA